GTCAGTGATGAAAAGTGAAAGAGAAGAGCAAAATGTAAGTAATGCCTGTGTAATGTTTTGATTACATCAGACATTCAGAGACCGTAAAGCATGTACAAACTGGCCGACTCTTCTACTGTCAGTTTCTTTGAAAAGTCTGTATACTTCTGAGAATAAAATGTCTCTTTCTGGGCCTTCAGTGATATGATATATTCATAATGTAGAGCAACCCACAGTTCATTGGGTCAAATGATTGTCATTTTAAGATTATACTGTAACAACATTAATGTTTCTATTTATATACAGCTCATCATAACATAAATAACGTAATGCACTGTTTCAGCTGAGAGATGCACACACTGTACACCAGAGAAGTACATGGCAAGTTCAAGTTTTAAGACTCATGTATTACAGTGAAAAATAAAGTTAGGTGTTGTCTGCTTTTGAGCTAGAAGATTTGAATGAAGTTCAATTTACCAGCCATCAGTTTTTTATTTTTATTATTTCCCCCCACAATTAGTAATGTCCTTTACTAAAATTTTCAACCTCTCTCCGGCCCAGGCCATTGTCACTGGACCCATTTCAGTTCGTCTAAAAACCTAACGGGTCAGTTGAGGACGCCATCGCCTCAGCTCTCCACACTGCCCTGAATCGCCTGGATAAAAGCAACACTTACATCAGAATGCTATTCATTGATTTCAGTTCTGCTTTTAATACTGTGATTCCATCTAAGCTGATCTCCAAACTTACTGACCTTGGCATCAGCCCCTCTCTCTGCTACTGGACCTTGGACTTTCTCAAGAACAGACCACAGTCTGTTAGGATTAACAATCACAACTCCTCCATCCTCACCATGAATACTGGCGTACCACAGGGCTATGTTCTGAGCCCAATTCTCTACTCCCTCTTCGCTCACGACTGCATACCTTTACATGGCTCTAACTCCATAATCAAGTTTGCAGACGACACCACAGTTGTAGGCCTGATCAGCGGCGACAATGAAACTCTCTACAGGGAGGAGGTTCAGCACCTGGCAGTGGTGTGCCGACAATAATCTCGCACTCAACACTCAGAAGATCAAGGAACTGATTGTGGACCCCCGGCGGACTAGGAAAGACCACACACACACCCCCATGTGAGCATGTGACTAGTTTCAAATTCCTGGGTGTCCATATTGCCTATTCTTAAAGCAGTCTTGCTACTTCACAATGAACTTTTTTACTGTAATTTTAATTCAGTCATTTAGTACTTACAGTTCTCCTCTAAGTGTATGAATCTGCAAATTGTTAATTTTAACTAAATAAGATCATAAAAAATGCATGTTATTTTGATTTAGTGCTGTCTTGAATAAGCTATTTCACATAACAGATGTTTACATACAGTCCACTAGATAAAATAACTGAATTCATAAAAATGACCCCATTCAAAAGTTTACACACCCTTGACACATAATGCTGTGTGTCATAACCTGGATGATCCATGACTCTTTTTATGTTTTGTACTTGTTGTTCATGAGTCCCTCAGTTAAACAGTTAAAATGCCCATTGCACTGATATGGTCACTGAACTTATTTTTATATATTTACAAATACCTCGTTCTGAATAATGCACCAGCTGTGTTTTTCTGGAGGGCCGGAGCCCTGCAGCGCTTAGATTCAACCCTAATTAAACACACCTGATCCAACTAATAAAGTTCTTCAGGTTTATTTGAAAACTACATGTTATGTGTGTTGGAGCAGGGTTTGAACAAAACTCTGCAGGGCTCCGGCCCTCCAGGACTTGAGTTTGACACCCCTGATCTAATCTATTCTCATCTATTTGTGAAAGCTATGTAGCACTGCCTCTGTTAAAAGCTTTGAGAATTGTGTGTGTGTGTATAATTCATTCAATTCATATGTATACAATTTATATATAACTGAGTCACCATGGAAACTACAGAGCCAAGACACAGATCTAGATATAAAAGTGCCAGTATCTCTTAATATTGAGCTTGCAGTATTTACTTACTGCATGTGAAAGAGATGGGGGAATTGTTGCAAGCCAGGCTTGAACCCGCATCTCTAACCATGAATCACTATGGCATCAGATGCATTTGTACTAGCTGACATCTGTTTTAGCTTTAATATTTCTTTTGCTTGGTGAATATATTTGTGTAGAAGGTTGGAAAGGCGTTACCCAAGCCGAGTTTAAACTTTCAGTCTGAGTTTGGTGGATTATTCTTTCAACACTATCTTAATATGCTTGCATTAGGCAGCATGCGTTTCCACATTCTGAAAATGATGCATGTGTGCTTTGTTCCCTTAATCTCTCCATTCGCAAACATGGTAGAAAACAGCCCATTTGTCAAGCCATTACATGTGATTAGGAGTCTTTAGGGTAAACACATCACATAAACAAATAGCTGTTTTTCCTCTTGCTTACTTTCTACTGCTTTTGTGCTTTAATTTCTCTCTCTCTCTCTCTCTCTCTCTCTCTCTCTCTCCACATTAATTATTATGTGTGAAATGTTGCCTATTCTTAAAGCAGTCTTGCTACTTCACAATGAACTTTACTGTAATTTTACTGTAATTTTAATTCAGTCATTTAGTACTTACAGTTAGTTCTCCTCTAAGTCTATGAATATGCAAATATGCAAAATGTTAATTTTAACAAAATAAGAGGGGTCATAAAAAATGCATGTTATTTTGATTTAGTGCTGTCTAGAATAAGCTATTTCACATAACAGATGTTTACATGCACTCCACAAGATAAAATAACTGAATTTATAAAAATGAACCCATTCAAAAGTTTACACACCCATGACTCATAATGCTGTGTGTCATAACCTGGACGATCCATGACTCTTTTTATCTTCTGTACTAGTTGTTCATGAGTCCCTCAGTTAAACAGTTAACAGCTGTTCTTCAGAAAAATCCTCCAGCTCCTGCAAATTCTCAGGTTTTCCAGCATCTTCTGCATATTTGACCGCTTTCCAGCAGTGACTGTATGATTTTGAGATCCATCTTTTCACACTGAGCACAATTGAGGGACTCATGCACAATTATTACAAAAGGTTAACGCATACTGACGCAATATGATGCATTGAGAGCCGGACTTTTTGAATTGGATGATCAGGGTAAATTGTACTTATTTTGTCTTCTGGGAAACATATTATGTTGCTTCTGAAGAGCAGTATTAAATGAAAAAAAAAAAAAAAAGATATTTAAACAAAATAAGAAAAATGTACACATGTTGGAAAGTGGTCAGATATGCAGAAGAATCTGAAAAACCAAAGAATATGCAGTTGCTGGAGGAGTTTTCTGGAGAACAGCGGGAAGTTGAACTATTCATGGCAAACGAGGGACTCTCAAACAAATATAACAAAACATGAAAACAGTCGTGGATCATCCGGATAACGACACGCAGTGCTGCATTAAGATTCAACTTTTGAACAGGGTCATTTTTATAAATTCAGTAATTATTTTGACTTGTAGAGTATATTTAAATATATTTTATATGAAATGGTTTATTCTGGAAAGTATCCAGAAAATCCAGAAAAAAAGTAATCCAGAAAAGTAAAATGTGCCAAATTGGCTTGTGATTTATGCCGCTGTGGTGACGCCTGACAAGAAAGGGAGCAAGCCGAAAGAGAGAGCGAGATTATTCAGGAAAGTACTAAATAAAAAGTAACAATACATTTTTACTATCCATATTATTTAGAGAGAGTTGTTAACGTTTTGCATATTCTGCGAGGGGTATGTAAACTTATGAGCAGAACTGTAATTCTCTAAAATTAGGCACGCAAACATTTCATGTGGTGAGTTCATTGAATCCTCAAAATAATCTTAAACATCATAAAGGAAAAGAAAAAAAATGTAATTTATTATTTACTAAAATATCCCCCTCTGTTGCAGCTCTCAAATCACATCTTTCATTCTGTATGAGAAAACCAGTGCATTACATTTGGTTACAACACATGCAAGAACCAGTAGCTTGTGGCATCAGGCCTTGGCACTCTATTTTTCTCAATCTATATGCAGATTTGAATGATATTTCAGAGCTTGGCTCACAGCAAGATTTTCACTGTAAAAATTACACTTTTCTTTTAGTGGGCTGACTTCCTTTATAAGCATGACACAATGAGTTCCTAGTTTATAAATGCCTCAAACCCAAGCCATCTCCTCAAAGACCTACTAAACTATTTCTCCCACTTGAACGTGACTTGAGGCCAGATCACTTGAGTGGTTTGACTAGAACTGACTGAGGCGTTTTGGAAAGGCTTTTGAAGGACATCCTCCTCTGATGTTGTGGGGAAGATTCAAGATTCAAGATTTTTATTTGTCACATACATGGTTATATGTAGCTGTGAGCAATCCAAGCAGTCTGGATTGTTCCATCTGGTGATCAGCAGAGGTCAAGCAGATGGTAATGCTCCTCGGGGGAGAGACGGGGCTGGTTTCCTGAAACCCTGCGCTCTGCCATGGACATATATCCTGCGATACAAACACAGACGGGGGTTGTGCTTACTGCTAACCGTAAACTGGAAGTTGCATAATAGAACATTATAATATTACACTTTTGTTTTTGGCAGTGTCTGTGAAAATATCTTTAGGGTGAAGTGTGGGTATGTGTGTTTAACTTTCACCCATCCCAGTTTAATGTGTAGACTCAACTATAAGTAAGCCATTCTTAGGTTGACTTTCGGAAGAGTGTAAACACTGGCTCTGCGGTACTTTCTTAACATTTGTTTGTGTGGTCCAATATATCAGGTTCCTCAAGTTAGTGTAAGATTAGGGTGGGATTGCATGTTTGTCTGAAACAAAGGTGTATAACAGTTCGAGAGAGCTATCCATTATATCTGTAATATCGCTGGCAGTGTCGGACACCCCAGAGGTACAGAAAAAATACATATAAGGAGCAAATTGTGCATACAGTAGTAAATGGATTCTTTGCAGTTGTTATGAAATAATATTTGGCGTTATCCTTCTTCACTAACAATTTGTAATTAAACGTATTCTAATCGCTCTCAACATTTTATTCTAGGTTTTCATGTTGGGAGGGATTCATCCACCTCGGCCCTGGCAGGACTAAACCTTCCAACGTCTTTCTGGTAAGAACAGATTTAGCAGATTTATAGAAACCGAAATGAAAGTTTTCATTTAGCAAAAATAATAATAATAATAATAATAATTAAAGTTTATTTAATAATTAATAATTAATCAAATTTATCGAATAATCAACACTCACATAAAACTGATTTGTATATAAACATTTAATTTGCACATAAGGCAGTTTTAATATAAACTTTTAATGATAAAATTATATTTCTACTCCAAGTCATTGTTGATATATTAACATTTAAATAATGGCTGTAATAAAACTTGTTTTTCAAACATACATTACACAATGAAGACATCACTAACAGGCTAATTAAAAATATAATCAATGTGTAATATAGTTCCTTTATTTAGCAAAATATTCCTCTTTTTTTTTTCTAGCTGACTAAAGAACTATGGATATTGAATGACTTTCCTGAGGTAAATGCAACATTTTGTGACATATTTGTTAAAAGTTTTGGTTATTAATGTCTTTCCACAATTGAAACACTGACTGAGCGATTGCATGAAATATAATGCAATTCAGTAAGTTGTACTATTTCTTTCAGTATACCTTCTGATGTTCATTCATGTTCATTTCATGCTATAACTAGAAGAGGAAGATGATGATCGGTTCAAGTACATCAAAACGACTTTTATTGTTTGAATTACTTAATAAAAATGAATGAATTTGAAAACTGAGAATTTGTCTCATATGAAAGTAAACAAAGCACAAAGCTTATTGCGATTATTAGATGTAGGCTCACTACATATTTTGTGAAGTTTTGGTCACAAATTAACTGAAAACAGCACACACTAAAATAACTTGGTTCATCAAAATGAAGATTAAAAATGAGAAATCAATATTGTCAATCCAGCCCTAGCATTGACACAGCTGACATATTTACCTGTTGTAGTTTATCCATGTAAAATAGACACTGACAGTCATATCGTGCCATCAGAGATACACTAATTAAACATCACCAGTCCAGTCAACGATTTACGCATCCTAAACTTTACATTTAAGACTTGTGATAACGGCAAATGACAAAAGCTTGACTGCAGACAATTTAACAACAGCTGGACTGAGGTATTTCTTCATCTCCCTGTTGCTGGTGTTTTGCTGGTTTATGCTGGTCCTTTGCTGGTTTATGCTGGTTCTTTGCTGGTTTATGCTGGTCCTTTGCTGGTTTAAGCTGGTCCTTTGCTGGTTTATGCTGGTTCTTTGCTGGTTTATGCTGGTCCTTTGCTGGTTTAAGCTGGTCCTTTGCTGGTTTATGCTGGTTCTTTGCTGGTTTATGCTGGTCCTTTGCTGGTTTATGCTGGTTCTTTGCTGGTTTAAGCTGGTCCTTTGCTGGTTTAACCAGCAAAGGACCAGCTTAAACCAGCATCCCAGCGTCAAAACATACCTAACCAGCATATGCTGGTTTTTTACTTTATTGTTATGCTAAACCGAGAAAGCACCTGACCTCAGTGAATATGCAGTAGGCCTATAGAGGATATTTGCATGCATGATAGGTTTGTTCCGGCTGTGCAGCACAACACTTAGTCTTACATGAACCTAAAGTAAGTTACTTGCAGTAAAAGCTTTTTCCGAAGACTCCAATGATGTGGCTTGTTGAGGGGAGATGATATTTCTTTTTATGTCATCAGGCTTGTGATTATTTATTTATTTGTTTGTTTGGTGGATAATAAAACCAGTTAAAAATCCATTGAGGCAGAAACACTGGCCATATGTTGTAGAGAACATAATGTCATACAGACTTGGGTGTGGATTCTTTTGACTTTTGACTTACACTCTGCACACCTTAGCAACTGCATATTGCCGTAGCAACCACTCATCCAGAAAACATTGAAATGAGACTGTGATCGGGGCAAAGAGGAGGTCTCAGTGTATACCGATGTGGACTTATTCCACTCTTTTAAAACAACCCTGCAGAAAGGCAGTTTTCCTTTGGATACACACTGCTGTGACTGCATTGTTTATATGTAATATATTCCTACGACTGGGTTTAGTTTTCATATAGGCAGACTCTCTTTTTTCACATAGGCAGCGTTTGTCTGCAGTGACATTAGAAAACATGTAATTTGATCAGCTCAGAGAGGATATGCTAACAAAGTCAGGCAGTTTATTCTTTTATCAGACACATTCTTCTCATGAAAACACCATCTGCTGTCCTCGTTCACGTCGCTGTTGCCATGTCAATGGGTCTATATTTAATAAAATAATTTAATCCTCGCTACCAAATTAACTAATTGCTCATGACATCCCATGATCCTCAGCTGTTCAGATACACCTGTGTTTCTACTCAAGAGTTGAGTCAGGTGCTCTGTCTGAGATCCTTTTGTTTTTGTAGCAGATACTATGGTACTAACAATAATAGCATGGTAATGCCATTTTTTCACATATACGATATCAAGGTATTCTTTGAAGAAATTTGAAGTACAATGAAATATGTTTATGGTGAGAAATTAACAGCCATCACCAGCCAAATGCAGTATTTATTTGCAGTGGTGGGTACACTGAGAAAAAAAATGGAGTAGGATTTTCTTTAAAACAATTTTCACTCATTGCTCATTGCTTCATTTCATTGCTAGTAAATATCACACATAATTACAAAGAAATGGCAAATAACACATTAAATTGTACATGAAATTTTGAAGTAGACAAATCGAAATAGTATTTTCTTGTAAAACATGCTACAATCATCTTTGATTTATTTACTTTGATAAATATTTTTACAGTGTAATTTTCCTTTGGTTGGCAACCTGTTTCAAGCTGACTTTTGACAAGAAATGCTGTGTTGTTCATTAACAACAGCATATCACTGGTTACATGTGTGTCTGGTTCACTTCAAACATGCATCATGAGTTAAAAACTGCCACAGGTCCATCATTTTGTGTAGTTTGTGAAGATCTTCCTTCACCAACCTCTGGTATTGCTATTTGAACATGGTATAATTTAGCACCATAGAGTAGGCTATATATCAAACTAATATGGTGTCACGGTTAGACTTGTGCCGGTATTCGGTAATGCGATATATCACGGTAATGAATATGCACGATATTGTTATCGTGGGCACTTCTAAATACCGTGAATAATTATATATTACAAATTATTCAGAATTTTGAATGCATTTTAAGAATACTTTTCCCAACAAACTGGTCAAAATGCACAACACCGCAGTATGCTGAGTGAAAGACGCATGCGCACTCTGACGTAAACAAGCGCGGACGAGAAGCACATGGCGGAACATGTGAGAGACGCTCTGGATGAAAGCCCTCGTGGTACCATCACAGAGAGGCTCAAAATCACTTTCCAGAACATTCTCGTTCACCGTTCCTGGCTGGTGGAACGATCTCCCCACCCCTATCCGGAATGCTGAATCCCTGACCATTTTCAAGCGACAGCTGAAAACTCATCTCTTTCGAAGCTACTTGACTTCATCATCATAAAAAAAAATTTCTATCTCTTTATCTATTCCTTCTCTTTCTAGCGTGTACTTATTTGAACAATGTCTAAAAACTTGGTATTACAAGCACTTCCTGTATCTGTTTGCCTCTTTTAAGAAGAATCGCTTTATGTATCCCCCAATTGTAAGTCGCTTTGGATAAAAGTGTCTGCTAAATGTCTAAATGTAAATGTAAATGTAATGAAAATTTGATACCGGCATATTCCTAGTCACGGTAGGCCTGGGCGATAAAACGGTATCGATATTTATCGACGGTACACCTTCTTCGAACAGCACGTGCTCTGAGTGATGCAGACAGCACACAAAAACATGAACACATGCTGAATTGAGTGCTGTGCCTGCCTGTGATGAGGAGATTGTAAAATAAAAAAATTTATATTAGTCGAATTTAAAATAAACATTTGCATTTGAATGCAAAAATAGTACAATCAAATATTAGGTGTGCGTCAGGGAGCATCAACAGTGACGCGCGAGATGCGGTGATGATGATGTAAGTGACGTTGTAGTTTAATGTTTTGTTAGTCTAGCCCACGAGACGCGCAGTTGCTGTGTTATGCCTTCAAAATATTATAGAAATATAGAAGCTCAATACGGATAAGTTCTTGATTAGGTTAAAACCAAAACCAAGCCATTCACACAGAAATCATATTCAGTGCATTTTTTAGACGGACAAATATGACTGCTGCACTCGC